TGAACCTATGCCACCTCAACTATTTGACGCCTGCACACGTCCAATAGGAAGGGGTGAACAGTGGCAGAAGGCACCACCATTGAGATTCGCTAAAATTCATGTGGACCCTGGTTATCGGTGCCATCCAGAGACAGCACAGTAGCGGCCGTCTGCCGAGACGATCAAGGAAATTATATAGGGAGTTCAGTCATGGTTATCCATGGTGTACACGACCCAACAACATTAGACACAATTGCGTGCAGGAAGGCACCGTCGCTGGTGGAAGACCTACTTTTACATAATTTTATGGTGGCTTCAGACCCCAAGTAACTCGCTGGAGACATCCACAATGGCTATCAAGGGCAACATAGCACTCATATGTGAGATTCATCAGAGATGTTCAGTTGTGTTTTTTCGTTCGAAGGTTGAGTCTGATAGAGAAGCTCATTTTTTAGCCAAGCTAGCTTTCGTATTCTTTTAGGTTAGAGACGTCATGTGTGGCTAGGCCAACCCCATGATTCAAGATGTATTTTAATATCTATGGCTTTTGATCAATAAAACTTGGTTTACCCCTACAAACACGTCCAATAGGAGGCGCTAGAGCTACATATCAGTTGTACCAATTACGCGAAACAACCAGACTTCGGTTTCCTTATTTTTTCCAAATATATGTTTTAATGTCTTTTTTCCTTTGTCCAAAAAATAAACATTTTTCTTATCCATGTTTAATGTTTTTCAAATACACGACTAACATTATTTTCCAAATATATATTTTAATTTCTATAATTTTTATATGTATTATACATTTTCACGTACACGTGAAACATTTTCTAAATTCTAATACATGGTTAACATTTTCTCATGTGTGTTAATATACTTTTTTCATACACATTTTAAGTGTTTCGTATACATCTGAAACATTTGTTTATGCAGTTAATACATTTTCGAAATACATGATTAACATTTTTTCAAACACATGTTTTTGTATATGCGTTCAAAAAACTACAAATAAAAGTTGAAATATTGGTTTTGAATGGTATGCTCATTTTTTAGACTACGCTAATGATTTTTTACAGTATGTTTAGATTTTCTGAATAAATGATTAACATTTTTTCAATGTTTTGATGTCTTCTTTTTTCATACACACTGTATATTTTTTGTGTACATCAAAACCTTTTTTCATACAAGTTTAGCAAATTTTAAATACATGATTAACATTTTTTTCAAATAGAATGATTAACTTTATATCCAATGCATGTTTTGATGTCTACTTTTTCATAGAGTGGTTTTTGGAACCCAGGTGTGTTGGAGGACTCTATTTTAAATACTTTAAAAATCACATTCAAAGTTCCAAAGAAAATGAAAAGAATTCTACGTGATCATATGGGTGTATATTACATACATGTAAAGTTTGGTGATGATATAAGTAAACATATAAGCTATACAAAAATGACAAAATGCTGATTTCCAAATAGTGAGTAATACATGCACTATTCATCTTTCCAAAATCACAATTTTTTCATTTTTGTGTAACTCACATGGTTACTTATTTTAACATCAAAATTTGCACATGTGTAATATACATCCATGTAAATATGTTGATTTATTTTCAGAATTTTTTAAAACTTCAAAATAGCATTTTGGCACTATTTTAAATATAGGGCTCCAAGGCACCCGTCCTCTGAAGTGACTTTTTGCTAGTAACATGTGCTAGTTAAATTCAAGTTTGAAGTATTATAATTTGAATACTTTGTTGAAATATAATACTTAAATTAGAACTACAACTGCATTTGAACATTTGATAGGTAAATTGGAACTAGATATGCGGTTATTTTGAGTGTGTGGATTGAACAAAAAATTAAGAGCAGATGTACGTTGTTAGCTTTGATTGGTCGGCTTCCGCATCAATGTTCACAGACTGGTCCCGGTTCGTGGACGGATACGGTGTCCGATTTACAGGCAGACGATAGGAGATGCCCTTACTCTCTTCATTGTTTTTTTTTTCAAGAAACGGAAAAGAACTCAAAGAAGCTCCCTTGACACGTACATTTCGATCTGTTTTTGTCCTCGGACGCAAGAAACATAAAAGATTTGCCATGACCGCACGAGTTGCCATCAGCCCGCGGGTGCCCGTGCCCGGTCGACGACGCACGCTCATTGGCTCATCGCTGGGTGCCACCGGGCACCGGCCGGGAGCTTCCCTGCGGCCGAGGACAAAGGCAGCCAGCACGAGCGCTGCGAGGTGACGTCCCGGAGCCGACAGCCTTTTCCCGGTTGCCTCCAACGACGGGGCGGGCGGCGGCTCGGTCCGACGGGAAGCCGGATTTGGACAGGCGTGAAGGACGACGGTGCCGCCACGTGGGCCGACGGGGCCGCTCCGGCGGTGCCTCTATATTGCGCGCGTCGACCTCCCCACCCCACCCTTCGCGTGCACGTAACTGGAATTTTCTGAACATTTCCGTCGTCGTGCCACGCCCGCTGTCACGAGACGAGACACACGAGCCTATCGAAGCCGTAGCCCGTAGGCATTGGTACGAATGCGATCTTCTAGATCACGGGAAGCAGCCGTGTCCGCGGACCTCTTCTTCAGTAGGTAGATAAACTGGGTGCTACGTGGTATTGCCATGCCGTGCCATGCCAATGGCTGCGAGATGTGGGTTAGGCGGGGACACATGATCGACCGTCTGCGTTTCTCTCCTTGGGTCCTCTTAAAAAAAAAGGCGCACCCGGGTTTCTTTTACCGCGACACTGAGCACCTCACACAAGCAGACGTCACGGAAGAAATAAACAGAGAAGAGAATTTGCTGCCTACGGAAGTGCGGTAGAAAAACAGAGGGGGTAAGGAGCCAGGGTCAACGCAGAAGTCACCAGAGGTTCCTGACGCTAAAGTATCCAAATTCCAACGACTAACCATATTAGCCAACGGAGCCCATCAAAATCTACAATGCTGTTACCAGAGAACTGAAAAATAGAAAACGCAGGGAGAATTGAGCAACTCCGGCAGCCATCGGCCCATCACCTATCACCGCCCAAATCGCTTCAGTTCACAAGGGCAACAAGGGTACAGGTACTGGAAGTCTACAGGTCAGATCCTCATGACATGATTTCATCAATCGCCGCCAGAACCCAGCAACAATAAACCAGCTAATATATACCTCAGCAAGACAAAACAAAACCTAGGTGTAACCCACCGTCTGAAGCTTGACTCAGAAGCAGCACCGTAGAAGAAACGAGGAGACACCAGCCACATATCTTCGCGCCATGATTCAGTTACCTCCCACACCCTCCAGCCGTGCACTGCTATGAAAACATCATTTGCTATCAGTTCCAACATTATTATGCCCCACCTTAGCGTTTCTTGACTTTCAAGATTTGTCTGCAAATAGTTCTAGACATTAAGCCACCTAATAATGATCATATTAACTGGTTAAAGAAACTTGTTTTTCTCTCTTTGTTTTTTTTTCATCTAATAACAATCCAACCGGTAGATTTTCTTGAGAGTGCAGATACGATGAAAGCGAGAGAAAGAAAGAGAAAATCCAACCGGATCACCTGCTTCCATCGTGCATGATGGTTTACGACCCCCGGGAAGCTCGGCTTCCTTTCTTTCTTGTTCCTCCGAGTCAAATAAAGATCGCTTTGGCGAGAGAACGTGATCTGTGCCTGCTCCGCCCTCACCCTTGTACTATTATCTGTTGGTTACCATGGCACTAATGCTTAATCTAGCTAGCCCACTCAGCCCGCAATAATACTCCTCAACAGAAAATAGCTAGCCACTAGGAGAAGAAGCAGATAGACAGAGACACGCCAACAAATATGATGTAAACATGGAAAATAAATGGGAGAAATCATAAAGTAACCACTGCTTCACCCTTTTTTTGTTCTCTTTTCAAAAAGAGGTCTCTTTCAGAAAAACTGTCAACATTTCCTTAACATCGACAAAAAAAACTGAATATTAGTGGGCTGCCACTTCCTAAACACTGGACGACATGTATCAGCGACTCCTGCCTAGTAGGCAAGAGGTGGCGGCCAACTCATTCTGGCGTGCCAGTGCCTAGCCAGTTGCCCCCACACATCACCAAGCGCGTAGCACGTTGCCTTTAAGTATACACGTCACCATTCTAGATTTTACAACTCGTTTCCCTCCTCCCCTCCCCAGACTTTAGACTTGTTCCTTCAGCCCATCACCTCCAACTCCAAGACCAGGAGGACCTCCGTTCGTTCTCCTCCAGTTCTACTTCCCCAAATCAAATCAAATCAAATCCCAATACACGAGAGCTAGCTCTTTCTAGAAGCGTAGCTCTACGTATCTTTGCTGCAAGACAAGAAGCAGCACATGCGACAAGATTAAGGTACTCAATTTTCAGCTCCATGGCTTTTTATTTCCATCCCAAGTTCAGTAAACCCTTCCATTGCTTCAAGACGAAACTAGCGGGGCACAAACATCAAGTGGTCAGCTCCGTGCACCATGAGACCTACTAGCACTGCTTTTCGAGTACTAGGCACATGCCACTTCTTAATTTCCAGCTCAGCTAACCCCAACTTGACACCATTTCTGTCATATGCTTTGTCTCTCTTTCCCACAAAGGAACTGCCAACTCCCCTCCTTCCATTCGCTCAAGTTGCACTCTCATTTCTGATTCAAATTATTAGTGCAGGAACAAGCGAGGCTAATTAAAGGTGCACGTTCTGGTTCAGATTATCAGTGCGGCCGCTGAGCGAAGCCCAAAAGGCTCACCGTAAAGCAAGGAGCAAAGGTGAGGATCTTTCCGTCGCTTTTGCACTTCTTGTGCTATCAATCAGAATCAGGGTGCGTGTTTCCCTTCGATCTCCATGCTTGCTTCCTGGCCACTTCGTGTCCTGGTCGTCAGTGTCTTACAACAGTTGATTGATTGCTGAGCTTTGGTTTCACTCCACAGGTTCCTTGGGATAAACTTCTTTCCTTGATCTTTAGTCTCCAGTCTCCACAACCAGCTGACCGGCTCTCCTCCAAATTCGTTATCGCAGATAGGGTAGCGTCCATGGGCTGTGGGGCGTCGAAATGGAAGGACCCCGGTGTTGTGCGCCGGGGGAGGCCAAGAAGCGTCGGTGAGGTGGTCGTCTTCCTCCCAGGGCTGAGGGTACCAAGAACCGTAGACTTCTCGCAGTCTCTCGCGGATCACCTGGACAAGAGCACGGTGGAGAGGCTGTCGGCTCTAAGAGCAACGGTCGTGGCAATGGCAATGCAGGAATCGACCATGGCCCTCAAGCCGAGGCGAAGGACGACGCGGCACGGTGTGTAGAGGGGATCCTGCTTTGCTGCTAGTCTGCTACATATGTGAAATATATATGAGGGGTTTTGTTTTGATTTGTAGCCTTTGTTTGGTTTCAGGAGGGTCTGGCACTGCTAATCTTCTCCGGGCTTTGGAAGAGTACCTACCAGTTCTGCTAGGACTGGTGAAAGAAAGTGAGTGTATCCTGTCATACAGTATTTTTGCTTTGTTTTTATGATGGTGTTTTCTGACTGATTCATCATGAGTGATGTTGCAGGCAGTGGTCTGAGAAACAAAGTGCAGTTTGTTTGGGCTAACCAAGAGGACGATGCTGAGGTAAATAAAATAAGGATGGGGTCCATCCATGTTCAGAGATGATCCCTTGGTAAAAGATGCTCAAAGTTACTTCATGGTTTGGTTGCAGGAGACATCCATGGCGGATGCTTGGTATGAGGTGCTGTCTGTGCTGCACCTTATGGCCATGGTGTGCTTCCTGCAGGCCAACTCTCTGCTTCTTCCGAGGTCATACGGCGACGGCCATGGGCCGAGGGTGTCTGAAGGTTAGTCATTCGGTACTAACATCTTGGATTCTTATTGGATTAAGAACATTGTTAGTTTTCATGATTTAGTACACTGCTAAGTGCTAACAACACAAAAAAAACACGTGTCCGGCAGAGAGCAGGCGAGCCACTGTTGATGTTTTCTTGAAAGCCGGTGGGTACTTGGATTGTGCAATTAATCAAGTACTTCCGCAGATACCGCCCGAAAAAAGGTTTAATTCTTGGTTATATCAGTTTATGAAGCTCAAAGAGCCCAAGTTTAGGATGACGTCTACTGAATTCTTTGGTCCTAATTTCAGAAGGGCACTCCCGGTAGATCTAGTTGAAGGAAATCTAAAAGCTCTTAGCTTGCAAGGACTTGGCCAGGTACTCTTCAGTAATTTGATGATTTTTGTTTTGCAAAGTGTAAGGACAAATCAAAAAGTAAATGATTCTTAATCTCATCCAAAACTGAACTACTCAACTCTGTCACATTGGTTGCAAGTAGATCTGATATATAGGGGTTTATTATTGTACTCTTGTTCTTGGGATGTTTGAGTGACTTACCATCTTCAAATGCTACAGGGAGTTGATATGCAACTTGGATTGGCAATTGATAATCCAAAGGCCACTTTAGCAGTCAAACGACGTTTAGCTTGCGAGATGGTCAAATATTGGCAGCAGGTGTTTCTTCTTTCTCTCAGACCTATTTTAAAGGGCTTATGAAGTTATGAGCATATGGGTCTGTTCTTTCCCATCATACTTCATCATTTTGTTTTTGCATTCAACAGCTATTGTGTAATCCTTTTGTACTTGAATCTATAAATTATTGTTCTACAGATTAAGGATAGCATACCGGAGCTTCCTTTGTCAGATGGATGGGCAAAAAAGCACACACTATTTGTAAAGTGGAAGTATGCTGAAGCAAAGGTGTGCATACCAGCTTACCACTATTTTCTCATAATTCCAGAACATGTTAATTATTTTGATTTCCAAATTGCAAATGTGTTCCATGTCTTGAACTGAAAAAAAAATATTGCTTGTGACCAATGGTGGAGCTACGTGAGGGCAAAACTCGGCCGTGTACCGCCCAGCTCATGTGCAGAACTGGGGCGTGAGGGAACAATTTTGTGCTCACCTTAGCCTGGCCCACCCAGCTATTTCTTTGTGCCTCTGCCACTAGACGCAACCTTACATATCCCATTTAAATTGAAGTCTTCACCAGATCACACACAGACTCTTCGACATGGCGAAGATATATAATATGTAGGTCTCTTTACCTTGCTAACTAGAGACATTTAAATCGGTACTGTTGCTCTTTATATTTTTGTCAGGCTGCTGCATACTACTTCCATGGGTTGATTCTTGATGAGGGAAACACCGAGAAATCACAGGAGATGGCAACATCATCCCTACAAGCGTCAGAGGAGTTTCTGAAAGAGAGCAAAAGAGCCTCTGAGGTCTTCCATTCGACTCCTCCGACATCAAGGTCAGTTGACAATTTTTAGTCTTCTTTAGGATTTGATTAACCTGTCCCAAATCTACTACTGTGCCATTTGGCGATTTCTAGGCCTAGTATGAACAAGTTGGCGCAAGGAGGAAATAATTCCGAGGAGCCTGCTATTTGAAAGCTATTGTTGCATAGTAGCCTCTGTGTCACAAGATGCACACAGCCATTATTGCTGCATTGTATAATACTCCCTCCGTTCCTAAATATAAGCCTTTTTATAGATTCCAATACGGACTACATACGGAGCAAAATGAGTGAATCTACACTCTAAAATACATCTATAGACATCTGTATGTAGTCCGTATTGAAATCTCTAAAAAGGCTTATATTTAGAAACGGAGGGAGTAGTTGAATATTTGAACTTGCAGAGTTTTGCTTGAAGCAATCAAAATGGAGACTGAATTTTGAACATGTAATGTTGCAGGATCTCAACTCCTTTCGGAACAACCAAACATCTCTTGGACATGATCCCACAAGAGACATTAAGCAAGCTCCAGAATAACCAGGACCTTAACACCCAAGAAAGGTAATACTAATATTTTCTAGAAGGGGTGACAATTATTTACCTTTAATGAACAGATGTTAATCATAAATATTTTCTAAATTCAGAACATCAAATACCGGAGTCAGCCGGATCATCACACCGCCGCCTCCATTGCCAGATTTCCCTTTGGCCCTAAATCCTGAGGAATATGAGCTTCCCCAATTAGACCCACTGTTGAAGAAGGAAGCTAACCACTAATGAAGTTTCGTTACCAAGCTCAGGCAAGAAAGAAGGCCTTCTTCTAAAAGGGATCACTCCTCCGCAGCTGAAAAAGAACATAAATTCTGCAACACTTTAGAGGACAATAGTGAGAAACGAAGTCTATTACGCCGAATGTTAGAAAGAAAAACAATTTTATTAATGTCGACCAGTTAAAATGAATTACCCAACAAGGTCCAAGGATCTGAAGAGCATTGTACAGACGGATCTTTTCTTGTGAATTAATGCTTTTGTTGACAGATTTCTAGCCACCAACTTTGCTAGAAAAGTATAAAGTAAGCATCCAGTATATCCTCTCATCCGGTGCTGCTCACTAAAATCACAGGACGGATTTCAGTCCATTCTGTGAACTTTTGTGATCCTTTTTTTTGTGCCAAAAAGTGCCAAAAGGGGACCCACAACTTGTTTAACTTCAAGAGATTTTTTTTGCAGAGAACTTCAAGAGAAACATTATGTAGTACATAATGTACATATTACATGACGCATAGTTGGATAAAAACAACATTATGGGAATACATATTTTGAAACATGGTGCTTCCACAATTGAACTTTAACAGATACCAAGAGTGGTTACTAGCCGAGGATACACCTTGAAGCGCACGCAAATAACATTTATTGAATCTATTGTTGTGTGGCAATCGTTGATTCTGCAATGTCTGGTCCATTATACTAGTGTCATTTCTACTTGCCTCCACAATCTCACACCACACTAATGAGGGACAAACTAATTACACCAAGACGAATAATAAAGTTCAGTTGCTTAATTTAGCATTGTTAACTGAAAGTTGGGAAAAGCATTACAAAACATTTGGTTCTGCAACAATTTTCCAAATTACCTTGTTTGCGTACTTCTCCACTAACAAAGGTATATCAGTTTTGGGTCTCCATCCTCCAAACAAAGACCCCTTCAGTGTTCTTCCAGAGAGAAGCAATCCATAATGAGCAGAAACTTCTGGTTTTGCTTTTGGTACACCAAGAGTTACAGTCAGTCCCCATCCCTGACAAGACCAAACATGAGAGGAGAAAATGCATCTGAACATAATAGTAAACTTTTGTGGCACACGGTTACTAGAAATGAAAAAGACGAACAGAAAATTACATCAGAACATGATTGCAATGCAGTCGAGACTACTCCGGTATCACCCACACATTCAAAAGAGTAATCAGCCCCTCCATCAGTAAGCCGTTTTACTACCTGAAAGGATGAACAAAATGTCATTCCTATGTTGTTTATCAGGTTGGGATCAATCGGTTAAAACATATGAAGTGAAAACCAGCACCACATCAGTTTTTGACATCTCTCTCTTATGAATGGAGTTGTTATAAGAGCACATTGGCAAAGCGTGTAACCCAAAGCTTGCTTACTGTGCATAATCTTGTTGGACAAGTACTGCCTAGGCAAATAACTTTTGTGTTCTTGCTTTATCTTATGATTTTGTCAAAATTTAATGGTTAGTCCAGTCCATGATTGAGCGCATCAGTTTCTTTGTGTAAACAGAATGCCATTTGTACACCAAAGATGCAGTTAAGATAATCATATAAACTGTAATAGATCAGTGGTTCAAGTTTATCAGCCAATTTGATCTAATTTAATTTTTTCCATATTCCTCCCCTAACCGAGGGAGCCGGGTTCCACAATCATCAGATAACGAAGCAAACCAAAAGCTTCAGGAAAAGTACCTGCTGAACAGGTTCATTCAATTCGGCAGGATTAATAAAATCTGTAACACCAAAAGCCTTCCCTGTGACACAGACACACCAAGTAAGTTTGCAGAAAAAATATTGCCATAGAAGTATACAGTTATTATTTTGCACTGCAAAAATACCCTTTTCTTGCTTAGCAGGATTGGTATCTACTCCAATAATCTTGGAAGCTCCCCGTAGCTTAGCACCTTGAGCTACCTAAATCAGCAGATATGGGCCTCAGAACTGCATTTCTTGATATGTGTTTTCTTAACTTACATACAATAGCAGCTTATGTAGATACTCACCGAAAGTCCTACAGTTCCCAGACCAAATATAACTACACTTGACCCCTTGGATACATCAGCAACATTCCAAGCCGCACCAAGGCCTAAAGAAGAGATTAACAGGGCAATGAACAGTGGATGATCAGACACCTTTAAAACAAGATGAATGAATAATTTGGACACCAAAACAATTCTTTGCAAGCTTCAGAGGAGCATGGGGCAAAGTGAAGGGTGTACCTGCGGACGCGCCGCAGCTGAGCAGGCATATCCTGTCCATGGGCATGGTGGGGCTGACCTTGACCGCGCAGCCCGAGTGGACAACCGCGTACTCGCTGAAGCTCGACACGGCGCAGTAATGGTACACGGGCTTCCCGCCGATGGAGAAGCGGGTGGTCTGGTCGCTGTGCATGACGCCCTTCCTCTCCAGACCGAGCGTCTGGCACATGTTGCTTTTCCCCGACACGCAGTGCTTGCAGCTCATGCACTCCCCGATGAAGACGGTGAGCGCGTGGTCTCCCACTTGGAACTCGGTCACTCCTTCCCCGACGCTCTCGACCACCCTGCGGACTTCAGGTGTTAGGCTGTCAGCATTGTGAATTGTGTGAGCGGTGAAAGCAAAAGGAGAGAGAGATTGTGATACGGACCCGGATGCTTCGTGCCCGAAAATTCTGGGGAACAGATCGGGCTGCGCCTGCGATTCGGATCAAAGTTGAGAGTAGACTCGGAATGGGATACAAATGCTCGGGGGGAAGAAGCTGTTGGTGGTGCCGGTGCGTACCGTGGACTGCCACTGGGTGACGTCGCTGCGGCAGATGGAGGTGGAGACGACCTTGACGCGGATCTCCAGTGGCCCCGGCGGGGCGACCTCCACGTCCTCCATCACCAGCGCCTGCCCCGGCCCCCATGCCACCGCCGCTGCACGCAATCAAACACTCACCGGGTCAGGAGCACGCATTCACGCGACGAAACCAGAAGCTCGGGCGGGACGGAGTGGTCACCTCGGCAGGTGATGACCGCCGGAGGGGAGGGCGACGATGCAGCGGCAGCCATTGCTGGAGAGTTGCCTACTGGTTTGCTGCCTGTGCAGATTCTGGTGGGGAGAAGTCAAACAATCGTCGCTCCTTGGTTCCGCTTTAGAAGGGGGGAGGGTTAGGTAGGAGTGCCGCTGCCGCCTACCTACCACCGTTGCTCAATGCTGCTACCGCAACACTGTAACAAGAAACTTGAACATCATATTGCTGTCAGGAAAGAGCGCGCACCAGCAACGGCTCAGAACTTGTCCAGTCCACTTGAACAGTGCCTGCACCTGAAGATTGCCAATTCGATGGCAGCAATTCTCCCTTGCTATGTGACCAATCTTGCATAGCCGCAAAAGAACATGATCTATGCAGCCTTCATAGACACGTCAGGAACAACAAAAGAGGGAAGAAACAAACAACGCGACTGTCCAATAATTCAACGCAACTGTTGTATAGACATATTTGTAGCTTTTTATGCATCCATAACAATGACAGATGTACAATGATTACATTGTTAATCAGGAGACATCATTAGCATTTAGCACTACAAATGTACTCCCTCCGTTCCAAAATAAGCGTCTCAACTTTATACTAACTTTAGTATAAAATTATACTAAGCTTGAGACATTTATTTTGGGACGGAGGGAGTATAATGTAAGATGTTTTTTGACACTAGGACGGAGGGAGTAGAAACGATTCTCAGGGTAATCAAGGGTGATAATCTGTACATGTTAGCTGGCTAGGAGATTGGGGAAAATTGTGAGCTCCTAGTTGCAATGGACACAGAGCTCATAGTCACATCTTCTTCTTGTCTTCGTTAGGTCTGATCATCTGTACAGGAGCAGCTGGAATACGGGCCCACCACTCTTTAATTCGTCTTCGGAACTTCTCCGTGTGTTGCTTCCTTAGTGGCATCTCCCTCGTGTAAACCTCCAGGACTGCCATCAGGAGCAGATGCTTAGGAGGCATCAACACAACAACCGCAGCTGCAACAAGAAGTGCCACTGCGACTATTTCAGTTGCCTGCATAGGGAAAATATGGAGATTAGCATTTTGGCAGATCGACCTCTTTGTATAGGTACAAAGATAACTTATTTTGGAATGACGTGCAATGCTGGATGTAAACTATCACACATGTATAGACAAATATTGGGCTAGAAATGGCTCATATCTGATGAGTCAAATAAATGTTATCACTAAGTTGTGTCAAATTGTAAAACAAAATACATCAAAGCGGTAAGCACATCAAGAGATTATCGATGCACTGCGAGTTTTCTAGACATATCCCTCAATAAACAAGACTTATATTCAAAAGCAACAGCAAGGACAAACCTTTGGAACAGCTGCAAACAAGAGAGCTCTGAACTTGAGAAGAACAATATTTACAGCCTGTAGGGTATCTTCCAACTTGGATATAGCTTCCTGCAAGATCAAGATTTGCTCGACAGGATTTTTAGTTGGAGGAGGTCTTACTTCAAGCACTTCCAACAGTTTTCCTTCTTCACTGTACTTATGCCAAAGCATAACGACAGCAAAGACTATGAAAACAGAGGGCACAGTGTAACTGACAAGCCCGCTACATAACAAAGAAAAGACATATTAAGCAAAGCGATATACGTAAGCATACTTGATAAGATCCAGCAACCACAACGAAATTACCTTTGGATAACATAGAGGATAAAAGCTAAGAACAAAAATGATTTTAGAGGATCTTCCCACTTGGTTAAAGAGTAAATAAGTTTGCCTGCATGAATGAACGAAAAAAGTATCTCCTGCAAAATAAGGGCCAACCATCAGAAATCAAATGGCAATAATGTACTTGTACAATACACCACTTGGGTGTGACCATTGGAAAAGAACAATTTAAGTTGATCTTATCAGCACACCTGCATGAGGGCTACATTTGCATCAAGACCTTCCACCTTCACTTGATCAACCGTAGCACGTGCTGCCTCTATTCTTTCAGAATAAAGAAATGACTCTTGCAAAGCAGCCTCCAGAGATTTTGTCACACCAACACAAACAGCACAAAAGCTTATCTCCTTTTCAGTTTCATTTTTTCTCTTCAGCAAGTTAAATCCCATTCTAGAGAGAGCATATAATGAAAATGGTACAGAATGAGTCTGCGGTGCTTTGTCAACTGATGGCTCAGTTGCCAAATGGCTCAACGAAGTGTCCAACAGTTGGAAGTAGTTGTTGTATAGGGCCTCTAATACCATATCTCCTTTTGGGAGCTTTTCAGCTAAGCTAAAAGTGAGTGTTGTCTTAAAGTGAGATGGAGCAATATGAAAAGCTTCTTTCACAGCAGAGTATCTCAAGATGCCCAGGATAGCCTTTGAGAGTGCTTCTGCTCTCTGAATATCTTCAAGGTTGAATTTTCTGATAAATCTATTCACCTGCATTACTTCACGAGTGATTGCTAACCAATAGTTTCTTCGTGAGGGGCTCCCTAACTCAGGAAAGTCGAAATAAATTGGTTCTGTTCTGCAAATATGGTGCTGTTAGTTTTGAAGGAAACCTATGAAAGTACACCTACAGGCTACAGTGCTCAGTAACATAAGTACTAGAGAACTCTTCCCATTTCAATACTTACAAAGTGCTTGATTTGTACATCACAGCTTTATCAAACAGACGAACACCCAATGGTCCAGTAAAATCTCGCTTGATCACTTGATTTGAATCTGTTGCTAAATCATATTTAACAATCTTATCACCATAACCAACTCTGATACTTTGAAAATAAAGAGCATGTGTTGTAAGGATCAATGTTCCTGCCAAAAATAAAGAGATGATTAGTGGATTCCCTAAATGAAGCATGCCTGCAAAATGAAAATCAAATGCCAGTCAGTCAGTTCACCTGGCCAAGCTGATATCCCAATATGCTGCAATACAGGATGAATAGGCTTGTCACCATCAATAGCTAAGATACATTCCCCAGCATCAAGATTAAAACTTGAAGCAAGTGATGACTGCATAACTCCTTTGATAGATCTGAATACCCTACACAATAACATGGATATTTCTCTTAATGTTTTTTACTGAATCAACCATAGATTCATAGCATAACCTTTTCCTGGTCAAAAGGTTTGTTTGGGAAAGTTTCTAAATCTAGGGTTCAATATCCCTGAAAAAAGACCTGGGGCAATAGAAAGCACTACCAATACAGTATCAATTCCACAATAAAAACACCTAATGATGCAACTACAGTTGTAGAGAATACGAACTTGGTCTATTTTAATTTGAAGCACTAACAGTGATCAAAGGATATTCATACATTGATTCCTTAGACATTAACAAAGGGTGGGGAAAATAAATAATGAGAGCTTGATCATCCATCAACTGTATTTCTTACCGGTCTAAACTTTTGAGATACTTGTCATATACGAAATAATGTAACCGGCCACCAGATGAACACGTAAGTGCATCAAATAGATTGTGGACAGTAACCAAGTCAGCTATTATTGGGCATGAAGGCGCTATTCGTGTAAAAGCACTTAAGCCAACTGTCTTCATGTCGTTAACCTACAAATGAACAGCACAAAATCATCATGTGCAGACACATGAAGAAATGTGGTCGTAACAAAAAAATCGATGTTTTGTAAACAGAACTAACTTGAACAGCTAAACTTGTGGAATTCGTATAGAAAATTGATCCCTCATCTTCATCTTCAATCTCCACGGGATTACACAAGGTAGAATTCTGACAATCACAATAAATAGAAAGAATGATGGATATCATAAAGTTAGAATTGTAAATTTCTCTTCAGAAAATACAGGTGTCATTTATTTATTTATGCTTCAAACACGACTATTTGATAAAGGAAAAAAGGGAAGACGAATGGTATATGGTGACCAACTGCAGCAATGAAGATTTCTCACATTTTTTAGCAATCCTTCCTCAGAACCTGGGTTTTCCCAAGCAAGCATCATATCAAACATTAAACGACGAAGATTCATATCAGCCAAATAGTCTGGACGTGTAGTTACTTCATGGAGAGCTTTGTGGCAGCAGTACTCTAATAGTTCTCTGGCATATGTATTGGGTTCCTTACAATTATCTGGGAAATCAGCCTCATAACTTTGCTGCAAGTTCTCAGTTGCAACAGCAAGAATCCTGAAATTGTAAAACTGAGGAAACTAAGCACTTGACTTTAGAACTAATCATTTTGAGAGGAACTTTAGTAGAAGCTTGTCAGACATCACAGCACCGATATGAATGGAAGGGTATGATAGTGGAAATTTTAGGAGCGAATAGGGTGATATCATGTTTTTAAGGCTAATTACGAAGTTCTTCAAAGTATAGAACTTGACTTGATCAAAATGGTGTGTCGGATTTAGCTGATTCGACTGTGGCTAACTTATACTGCTTTACTTTCTCTCTCACAACAAGACCAGATACAGTAAGAACCACTGGATATCTAGCAATTACTAGCAAGAAACCTGGTGCGTTGCTATGGGCCACAACTTTTTACTACATGTTAGACTAATTACTTTATGGGATTGAGGTGTTGCTAGGCATATCCACAAATTCGTGATAGATCAGGGTGTCTTTGCAAAACATATTTAAGTTGGGTGATGAGCAATCTGGCAATCCCATCTGTCTCAAACATTGGTAGCAAAGCGTATGGCACAATCAATTATTACCTTTAATGTAAGAATTCATTCAGAGAAAACCAGCAGCCCCATAATTCAATTTTCATGGTTAGTACAGGTAGAAGCAAACGGGCCATTACCACCAATTGCTCTTTTTTTATATGAGTAATGACATGTGGGCATTAGCGAAATATTGAAGTGTGTCATACAAATGTCCAAAAATAACTAGCTATTACCAACGTTCAGGAAAACGTTAACTAGTAATTGCTCGGCCAGCTGGCGAGTAGGGCATTAATTGGCCAGTTAACTGATTTATTGGACGATATTTTGAACACAGGCTATTACTATAGTCTCTACTTCCAGAATGTAACAGTTTATGCAGAGAAAATTAGCAGTCGTATTTCCTCTCTATATGAGCTAATTTCAGATGGAAGTTAAATTACGATTAACCTGGTGGTGGTGTAACTATGCTGATTGGTCCGTTCTTTTTAGTCAGGCAGAATATATCAATTGAATGTGCAGTCTAGCAAAATGGTGAAGTCGACATTACAGATATTATGCCCTATGCATGAAGAAAGTCAATGTCAACAGTCATACACGAAAACCATGTGAATCCCTGAAACTCACAGGGAGATCCATTGAAGCACTATAAATTCATGCCCAACTAAAAGAGAGTATTCTATATACATCAACTCCTGTACTCTATCCACCCTGAGGACAATAACTACTGTCTACTGCCGACGGTGAGAATGAAAGGGCGCTGCTGTTTTTTGTTTAACAAAAGTGGAGAAAATAAGTAATACAGAAAAGCACGCATGCGCTTCCTATCGAATTAAGCAAATTAAATTAACAGTCATCGAGCAATCATATCATAGGTACTGAACAGTCTAAGATGATTTCAGATGTGCATTTAAGCACACGCCTCAGATGAACCGATCGAACGAATTTGGGGCAAGCAATCAGCATCAGTTGGGTGAGTGAGAAGAGGAGCAAAGAGTACACGGCTTGAATCGAACTTCAACCCTCGACCCCTACTACTAGTCTACTACCAAAGCGAGCTTGAGGTTGGGAAGGCCCCTGCGTACCGTGAGCAGCGGGAGACAACCGAGTTGGCGACGGACGAGAGCTGCGGGATGCCTCCGTCGGCGCCGCCGCCCTCGCCCTCGCCATCGGCCGCCGCGGGGGAGCGGGAGGTGGTGGAGGCGACGAAGGCGGCGGCCGACTGGCGGGAGAGGCGGGCGAGGAAGGTGCGGATGGGCTTCTCGCGCACCCACGTCTCCACGATCCCCATGTCGACCTCGCTCTCCTCCGAGGCCTCGACTCCTTGTATCCTTGACCCTTCGGGGGCTTGATTGGACTGGAAGCCTTCTTCCCCTTGCTTTGGGGCTCTGCTGCCGGTTGCTGTTCCTTCCGTCTTCGTTTCCTCGCCTCCGTGTCGTCACGTCTCGTGCGTTTCCACCGCGGTGTATCTTACCGGCCAACTGTGGCGCCAGCTGTGTGAGCGCGCGCGGAATGCGGCCAGGTAGGATGACGGCGCTGACGGGGCCGGCTGAGTTGGCAAGGTAGTCCACGGTCGCGCCAGCCGCCAGCACAGTGGAAGGCTGTGTTTTCTTTTTTCTTTTTTTACATGAGTGGAAGACCTTGCTGACTGGGTGATAAATGGCTAGACACTTCATTTTTATTCTCTGGGACACATACATTGTTTCTACTATGTACATATATATTCTTTTTAGTTACCGAATTTCATATGACAGCCCAATGGTTTGTCTACTACTTCCTTCATCCTATAATGTAAGACGATAACGAGATAAAACCTTCAAGGCTAAGAAATATTGAACAAAAGCTGAAAGCTTTATTGCATTGTACATTCAACGTTATCTCAGTAGAAAATTATGTGAACTTATTATATAGCTTGAAAAACTTGATAAAATTTAATACTATATGCATCACTTTTTTCCATTAGTCAATACGTGCATTTACAGTTTTACACGTACACGATTACTAGTCAACAGTAGAAGGAGCAAATGTATCTCAATCTAGACATTCTTATATGTTGTTGTCATTCATTCCTAAATTGATTAGTCGAAATTTCGTTTTCTTACATGAATTGAAATTTCGTTGGCAGGGAGAACCGTTTTGTTAACTTGGGACGTCGTTCATTCCAAGCCTGAACTTTTTTTTTAATCTTGCCAGTGTTGTTTGGTGGATCTGGAACGAAGGATAGTACGGTAGAGATGGGTAGGTTGCAATACTGAATCGTGCTCCCATCCATAGCCACGACCCCACCGCCAGCCTTTGCCTCCCTCCGCTCGCCGTCCGATCTCGTCTACACCCTATTACCCTCTTCCTCCCTCGCCAAGCCCCACCCCTACCTCCCGCCCCTAGCCTCCTTCTCCCTTGGCCCAGGACCGGCCCAACCATTATGAAGGCCCTAGTGCGAATGAGGTACACCGGACCTAACAAATATAATAGAGTGGAAAAATACTTTCACAATTATATGTCGCGGATCATGAAAATTATTATATTATAGAGTCATAAACATCAAAATTGTAATTAAATTAGAAAATTAAGTCTTAATACATCATTTATATGTGATTATATGATGCAAAAAATAATTATAAAATACATCTACTCAACCATAAATAACTATTGAATAAATGCAACGTGGTGAAGTGCACCGAGGGGAGGCAAATGCTTAAATTCTTTATAATGTATTTAGGTATGTAGATTATTGGGCCCTGTTTGACATGGGCCCTAGGCTGCCGCACCTTTTGCCACGCCATGAGGTCGTTTCTTGCACCGCTATTTGAAGAGGGTCGTTCTAAGATGTTATCAAACTCCTTAAAGCGACCAGATGCATATGCAAACTTTATGAAGGATTTGCAGAGTGGAAACTATACAATCTCCATGCTTGTAAAGAAAGATGAGAAGTATGAAGCACAACAGCGAGTGTTGGGTAACGTAGTAATTTCAAAAAAAATTCTACACACACGCAAGATCATGGTGATGCATAGCAACGAGAGGGGAGAGTGTTGTCTACGTACCCTCGTAGACCGAAAGCGGAAGCGTTAGCACAACGCGGTTGATGTAGTCGTACGTCTTCACGATCCGACCGATCAAGTACCGAACGTACGGCACCTCCGAGTTCAGCACACGTTCAGCCTGATGACGTCCCTCGAACTCCGATCCAGCCGAGTGTTGAGGGAGAGTTTCGTCAGCACGACGGCGTGGTGACGATAATGATGTTTTACCAACGCAGGGCTTCGCCTAAGCACCGCTACAGTATTATCGAGGTGGACTATGGTGGAGGGGGGCACCGCACACGGCTAAAAGATCAAATCAATTGTTGTGTCTCTAGGGTGCCCCCTGCCCCCGTATATAAAGGAGCAAGGGGGGAGGTGCTGCCGGCAAGGAGGAGGCGCGCCAGGAGGAGTCCTACTCCCACCGGGAGTAGGACTCCCTCCCTTCCTTGTTGGATTAGGAGAAGGAGGGAAAGAGGAGGGAGAGAGGAAGGAAAGGGGGGCGCCGCCCCCCTCTCCTTGTCCTATTCGGACTAGAGGGGGAGGGGCGTGCGGCCCTTCCCTAGCTGCCTCTCCTCTTCTCCAATAAGGCCCACTATGGCCCAATAAGCCCCCGGGGGTTCCGGTAACCCCTCGGTACTTCGGTAAAATCCCGATTTCACCTTGAACACTTCCGACATCCAAATATAGGCTTCCAATATATCAATCTTCATGTCTCAGCCATTTCGAGACTCCTCGTCATGTCTGTGATCACACCCAGGATTCCGAACAACCTTCGGTACATCAAAACTCATAAACTCATAATATAACTGTCATCGAAACTTTAAGCGTGCGGACCCTACGGGTTCGAGAACTATGTAGACATGACCGAGACACGTCTCCGTTCAATAACCAATAGCGGAACATGGATGCTCATATTGGCTCCCACATATTCTACAAAGATCTTTATCGGTCAGACCGCATAACAACATACGTTGTTCCCTTTGTCATCGGTATGTTACTTGCCCGAGATCCGATCGTCGGTATCTCAATACCTAGTTCAATCTCGTTATCGGCAAGTCTCTTTACTCGTTTTGTAATACATCATCCCGCAACTAACTCATTAGTTGCAATGCTTGCAAGGCTTAAGTGATGTGCATTACCGAGTGGGCCCAGAGATACCTCTCTGACGATCGGAGTGACAAATCCTAATCTTGAAATACGCCAACCCAACAAGTACCTTCGGAGACACCTGTAGAGCACCTTTATAATCACCCAGTTACGTTGTGACGTTTGGTAGCACACAAAGTGTTCCTCTGGTAAACGGGAGTTGCATAATCTCATAGTCATAGGAACATGTATAAGTCATGAAGAAAGCAATGGCAATATACTAAACGATCGAGTGCTAAGCTAACGGAATGGGTCAAGTCAATCACATCATTCTCCTAATGATGTGATCCCGTTAATAAAATGACAACTCATGTCAATGGCTAGGAAACATAACCATCTTTGATCAACGAGCTAGTCAAGTAGAGGCATACTAGTGACACTCTGTTTGTCTATGTATTCACACAAGTATTATGTTTCCGGTTAATACAATTCTAGCATGAATAATAAACATTTATCATGATATAAGGAAATAAATAATAACTTTATTATTGCCTCTAGGGCATATTTCCTCCAGTCTCCCACTTGCACTAGAGTCAATAATCTAGATTACACAGTAATGATTCTAACACCCATGGAGTCTTGGTGCTGATCATGTTTTGCTCGTGGAAGAGGCTTAGTCAACGGGTCTGCAACATTCAGATCCGTATGTATCTTGAAAATTTCTATGTCTCCCACATGGACTAGATCCCGGATGGAATTGAAGCGTCTCTTGATGTGCTTGGTTCTCTTGTGAAATCTGGATTCCTTCGCCAAGGCAATTGCACCAATATTGTCACAAAAGATTTTCATTAGACCCGATGCACTAGGTATGACACCTAGATCGGATATGAACTCCTTCATCCAGACTCCTTCATTTGCTGCTTCCGAAGCAGCTATGTACTCCGCTTCACACGTAGATCCCGCCATGACGCTTTGTTTAGAACTTCACCAACTGACAGCTCCACCGTTCAATGTAAACACGTATCCGGTTTGCGATTTAGAATCATCCGGATCAGTGTCAAAGCTTGCATCAACGTAACCTTTTACAATGAGCTCTTTGTCACCTCCATAAACGAGAAACATATCCTTAGTCCTTTTTAGGTATTTCAGGATGTTCTTGACCGCTGTCCAGTGATCCACTCCTGGATTACTTTGGTACCTCCCTGCTAGACTTATAGCAAGGCACACATCAGGTCTGGTACACAGCATTGCATACATGATAGAGCCTATGGCTGAAGCATAGGGAACATCTTTCATTTTATCTATCTTCTGCAGTGGTCGAGCATTGAGTCTTACTCAACTTCACACCTTGTAACATAGGCAAGAACCCTTTCTTTGCCTGATCCATTTTGAACTTCATCAAAACTTTGTCAAGGTATGTGCTTTGTGAAAGTCCAATTAAGCGTCTTGATCTATCTCTATAGATCTTGATGCCCAATATGTAAGCAGCTTCACCGAGGTCTTTCATTGAAAAACTCTTATTCAAATATCATTTTATGCTATACAAAAATTCTATATCATTTCCAATCAACAATATGTCATCCACATATAATATTAGAAATGCTACAAAGCTCCCACTCACTTTCTTGTAAATACAGGCTTCTCCAAAAGTCTGTATAAAACCATATGCTTTGATCACACTTTCAAAACGTTTATTCCAACTCTGGGAGGCTTGCACCAGTCCATAAATGGATCGCTGGAGCTTGCAAACTTTGTTAGCACCCTTTGGATCGATAAAACCTTCAGGTTGCATCATATACAACTCTTCTTACAGAAATACATTCAGGAATGCAGTCTTTACATCCATTTGCCAAATTTCATAATCATAAAATGCGGCAATAGCTAACATGATTCAGACGGACTTAAGCATCGCTACGGGTGAGAAGGTCTCATCGTAGTCAACTCCTTGAACTTGTCAAAAACCTTTCGCAACAAGTCGAGCTTTGTAGACAGTAACATTACCATCAGCGTCTGTCTTCTTCTTGAAGATCCATTTATTCTCGATGGCTTGTCGATCATCGAGCAAGTCAACCAAAGTCCACACTTTGTTCTCATACATGGATCCCATCTCAGATTTCATGGCCTCAAGCCATTTTGCGGAATCTGGGCTCATCATCGCTTCCTCATAGTTCGTAGATTCCTC